AGATCATGACCGGTTCATTGTATATGGATGGCATTTATACACCGATCAAGCTCTCTCCTCTTCATGTCCGGAATGACTGTGCGCAGACTTACGACGGCGACATGAGCCAACAGAGATCACCAAGCGAATTCATCTACGAGCGTCCGTCCGTGACGCCCATGATGAACACCCATGTTTATGATAGCTTTTTGGACCATCTCCCACCGGCGCCACCCGCCAACACACCACTCGAGGGGTATTCTCCGAACTGGAGATTAGGACAATATCCTCGCGGACAGGTTCTGGACGGTCAGGGCGAAGATACAAGCATCGGCGTCCCATATACCACAGGCCAGATACCCAACAAATCAAGCCCGTTTCCCATCTGGGCAGCAACAACGAACCAAGAAACCCACGGGCTGGGCTTCGAAGGCCAATCCGAGGGATTCAAGCAGGTACCTGCCGCTGCCGCGCAACCCTTCTGTCCACCAGACGGCCGTCACAATGATCCATACCGGCCTCAAATGACGAACATCAACATGAACGAGCACATTCACAAGACCCACCAAGCCCCTTCGCCTATGAGCATCACGTCGAACATAGCCGCCACAGTGCTCCCCTCGGGTGAAGCCCACCATCGCGACGGCCGCCTCAGCTGCAGCACAACGATCGTCAGCGTCGACAACGCCAGCTCCAGCAACCCGGCCAGCGACGTTCACACCATCTGCCTCCTCGCCACGGAATCCTACCTCAGCGAACGCCGCGCCAACTGGCGGCTCCGCGGCGGCGGCGGCGTCAGCAGACAATGTCCGCAGCGCCCCTCGTCGTCGCCCCGTGGCAGTCGCTGGATGCCCTACGTTCCGCCCGGCCAGGACAGCGACGGCGAGCACGGCCACCGCCGCCGCCGCAGCTCGACGGGCGAGAGGCCCACCGGCTCGCTGCTGGCCAACGTCAGTCGGATATCGACGGCGTTGTGGAAGCAGGCGATGCGGGACAGGCTCTATGTGCTGCGTTCGGAGAGAATGGCGCTGGAGAACATGGGCCAGCTGCTGGATTGGGCGGAGACGATCGCGGCGGGAGACAAGGGCGAGGAGATGGAGCCCATGCGGGTTTTGACGGCGGGGAGGAACTTGTGCGCCTGGCTCGGCGACGAAGTGGGCGTGGAGATGATGGAGGCGTTGGAGTGAGGTGACTCTGTCTGCTTTTGAGTTTGTCCTATCTGTTGATTGTGAGTGCCACCTAAGGGGATGCCCAGAGAAACGCTGTCGGGATTGATTCCCGC